TATTTGGTATTACCTTTACCAGTCCCTTAGCAAGGCAGTTGCTCCCTGTTGTGTGGGGATGTGCAGGCTGTGCCTTACAGGGCCTCCCTGGGAACTCTGGCTCAGACATGTGGGTATTTGCAGCATTATCAGGAGAGCTGTGGAAGTGACAGGATTGTTTATTACTGGAGCAAATCGGAGATGAGGAGGCAAATTGTATTTAGCAGAGTCCTTTTTCATTAAACCAGAAGACAGAGAAAGGTACCTTCCTAAACATGACAGAATTAGTAAAATAGCCTTTGAATTTCATTGAGGGTTAAGAGAACTGGAATTTGTGTCTTTTCTGGAGGCAGAGAACACAAATGGGTTCTGTAGATGAGCTGATGTTCAGTGACTGCTGCTGGTGCTGCCTTTTGTGCCTTGCCCTGCAGTCCTGCTCTCCCAGCCCCTCTGGGGGGCAGAGCTGTGGAACAGCAGCTGGGTGACCTTGGCTGAGGAGCAGCAGCTCCTGCAATGTCCGTGGGGTTTGGTCCTTCCCCCTCCCCAGAGAGGGGCCTTGGGAGCGCCTCTGCTCTTCCCTGCCCTCCCAGCAGCACAGAAACAACTCAATTCTATTTCCTTTTCCTTTTTTCCCTCTCCAGCTCTGTGGCAATTTCTTACAGTTGCCACAGTGCTTTAACCATAATTTCTAGGCCACTTAAACATATTGCCTGATGGCTTCTCACCTAACCTTCATAGAAATCATCTGTTTCTTGAGTTTAGAATCCCAGAGAATGACTCTTAACCTTGATTCACTAAGAAGTCATGTTAATTGCAAGATCCTTGAAAAAATTAGGTTGATAATGTGGTTAATTTTAAGAAACAGCACTTTTATTTTGTGACAGAGTCACTTTTATCAGCAATAAGCTGCTGGTACTGCAGTTGTTTAAATTACTAATTACTAGTTGAAATGAAAAGACAGATTAAACATGGTCTTTTTTTTGTCAACAGAATTTCCTCAGGTTTAGAAACACCCTAAGAAATCTACACTGGCACAAAGCAAGTACAGAAACATAAAAATTTATGATGAAATTTAAGATTTTTATTGCATTCTCTTCTTACATTTGAGTTGGGGAAATGGAATTGGAATCTTGGGCCTGTAAAAGGCAGCAGTGACTTCCCCAACCCCAAAACTTGTACATCACATAATGGGAACTCAAATGTCAAAACTCCTGAAATAGTTGTACTTGAGTGCAGTGTGGTTGCTCAGAATCCATGACCAATAAATACCAACCCTTGCCAGACTCTGATGAAATAGAGTTAAATTACCCCAATTTTGTAATTATGGAGAGAGGGTCTGTGTAGGGTCAGGGATGAGTAGCTGGAGCTTTGTGCTCTAACCCAAACCAAGCCCAGCAGTTTTTATCTTGTCTGTTTTCCTGGCAGTGCTCACTGCTGGAATGTTTCATGAAGGGATATTTCTGTATATGCAGTCTAAACTCCACACAACCAAAAGGAGCAATTTCTTAGTTTTAAAGTTCAATTTGGTACCCCAGCTCCTCTTCCTGCAGCATTCCCAGTCCCAGCCTGGCTTTCCAGAAGGGAGATCTGGGGAAGGAAATTCTCTTTTCTGGGGCTGCAGGCTCCAGGTGCTGTGTGTGAGTGAGCTGGGGGCTGCTGGGGAGTGCAGAACTCTGTGAGTGGTGCAGAATTGTCGTGTTGCTGATGGATTTAGAGCATAGGCTGCTTCTCTGATCCTACAGGACCTTTTCAAATTTCACAGGAATAATGAACACAGCCTGCAGGAAAAAGTCAAAATATTTGACTCTTCATCTGCTTCCCTAAGCATTTCTGTCACATATTTTCCTTTCCATAGCTCTCCAAATGCCAGGACAGTTCAGGGTGACATAGATTATTTTCTTCATTAGTTTTTGGGTGCTGTTTTTTTTGGGGGGGTGGATTTTTGGTGTTACCCAGATGGATGCACACACCAAGTTTTGACTTTGATATGGGAACCATATGTTGGAAAGATAAACCATCATTTTTTGTAGCTGTAGCTATTTTATTTATTTGATTTGTGTCAACTCTACCTGTTAATGTTTTTGGAACACAGCAACATTGGAGGAAAGGCTGATGTTCTAGGGGCCTTTCAGGAAACAGACTTTACCATAAGAACCAGGTCACAGCTTGCTCTGTGTAAAAATAAACTGAAAGAGAGCAATTCATTATCTCAGCACTTGCCATGTTTTTCTTTGATCTTTCTCTAAAGCTTGCAATGCTGTACATGGAGTATTCAGCTTTAAGGAGAGAGGCAAGTAGTTTTTATTATAGAAAAAATGCACAGTTAAAAATTAGCCAATTTTTAAATTAATCACAACATGCATTGTAGAAAGCAGAGGACAAATTACATGCTAGAAATAAAAACTAGATTTTGGTGTAAAATTATTTGATACAGTTTTAAAATTCTTTCAGAGTGAACTAAGGCTAAGTCTGTAATGTGTTTTTGTGGTATCTCAGTGTTGGAAATCGAGATGTCAGATGGAGAGACATTCTATTTTTGTTCAATTAATATCACAGAGCATTACATCAAAGCAGTAAACTCCTCTTGTATCAACAGATGCAGCAACCCTGAAGCCTATTTTCTCTCTTGTTACATTAGTGTTTAATTAAAGAAAACAACTAGTTGGAGGCAGTTACTTTCTGTGAAATGTAATGAAGATTTATTTTGTAAGTGACCTTCACTGTATTAGCTGAATCAGTAATCAGTAAAATTAATAGAATAATCAAATTAAATACAAACTCATAAATCACTGGGAATATGCTGTCAAAAATGCAGCTTTTAATATGTCCTATTGTTCCACAGCTGTATTAAAAATTGCAACTGCTGATTTCTGCCTTGATGGGGTCTGAAATGGCATTTAAAGGCTGTGGATGATGGAAGGCTACCAGGCCAAAAATTTTCACAACTGTTAATTTAGCTGTAATATGATTTGATGTCAGCAGGGCAGAGTTGAAGCTGAGTACAGTGTTGTTGCTATCTTTCAGCAAAACTTGAATTATTGGTGGAGGCAGTCGCCAGTTAATTAGAGTAATATCAGTTTAAATGTCTGTCATTTAGGGTTAATGCTATCAAAGAGTTGCCTTGTACTTCAAGTGCAGTCAAATCATCTTGAATAGTCCATTGTATGAAAGTAATGCCAGCACAATGATTTTACTTTATCATAAATTATTGGGGTGCCATTTAGTTGAATATTTCAGTTTCTGTATTTAAATAATTTTGGCAAGTCCTTCCTAGCTGTGTCATTTTTCATGCTAGGCTGTTCTAATAGGTGTTTTGGCTGTTTGTGATTGTTCAGCAACACAATCAAAATTCCTTTCCATTTTCATTTTAAAAGAGAACTTTTCTGCTGGCCTATGAAAACTGGTCATGCCCTCATCCCCTGGATAGCAGGCTGCTCTTGGAAAGAAATAATTCACATTTTTGTGCAGCCAAGCAGCAAACTTCTTTCAAAGCACGCCGGAAAAATAAAGTGCATATATCAAAACTCCCTGGCTGTGGTTGAAGGAAAACTGTAATTAATGTTTTTAACTAAGGAATCCAGTTGTAGTTAAGTTAATAGTGCTATTCTTAAATGCAAGATATGAAATCAGCTCCTCTGAGTTGGTTTGAGATGCTGATAGCTGCTGTCAGGCAGGAGGCTGTGGATTGCAGCATTAGGGATAATAAACCCATAGCTCTGGGTTCTCTCAGTTCTTCAGTGGATGTTTAACCTTTGTGGCATCTTCAGCAACCTCCAAACAGCCAAGGCTGGGATTTTTGGGATGAATCTCTGGTTCTCCATAGGAGCAGGGGTGTTTTTAGGGAGCTGGGTGTTTCAGGTGTCCCATGGTGGTGCTGGCAGCTCCTTGGGCTGCCCTGTCCTGCAGGTCAGAGGGGTTGTGGGACTGCTGTCCTGGAACTGCTCATCTGGCATCAGAATGACAGAATAGTGCCATTCTTGGAAGGCAGGTTTGCAAAGTGAAGGTTTTCAAGTTTATCATCTGGGAAGAGAAATCAAAATGCTTTCACTTCAAAGTCACAGAATCAGAGACTGGTTTGCATTGAAGAGACCTTAAAGCCCATCCAGTTTCACCCCTGCCATGGGCAGGGACACCCTCCACTGTCCCAGGCTGCTCCCAGCCCTGTCCAGCCTGGCCTTGGGCACTGCCAGGGATCCAGGGGCAGCCCCAGCTGCTCTGGGCACCTGTGCCAGGGCCTGCCCACCCTGCCAGGGAGAGATGTCTTCCAAATATCCAATCTAAACCTACCCTCCTTCAGTTTAAGGCTGTTCCCCTTGTCCCCAGTCCCTCTCCAGCTCTCCTGGAGCCCCTTCAGGCCCTGCCAGGGTCTCTGAGCTCTGCCTGGAGCTTCTCCTCTCCAGCTGAGCACCCCCAGCTCTGCCAGCCTGGCTCCAGCCCTGTGACAGCTCCATGACCTCCTCTGCTCTCCAACAGCTCCACATCTTGCTTCTGTCAGTAAACCAGCGTTACCAACACCTCAGAGCTTTGCCCTGCTCAGCACTCAGGCTGATTGCAATTAGCAGAGCTGCACTAATGACCTGTGTTTCCCTGTTGCAGGCTGTGTGCTGTGTTTGGGGGGATCTACTGCCTCCGTCACGCCGTGCGCTGCCTGGTGCTGGACAGAGCCTCGGGCCGGTAAGGGGCACCAGCAACTTCTGTTTGTACACCAAACACAGGTGAAAAATGCCTCAAGTCAATTGAAAAAAAAAATGATTCTTCAGAGATCCTCCTTGGTATTAATAACACATCAACCTTGATTAAAAGTAATTTGTGTATAGGACCTCCAGAACAAGGAAAGTGGGTCTAGAATATAGAAACTAAATTAATTTCCCTGTGATATTACTACAGCTCCTGATCACCCAAGCTTGGAAGACAAATCATTTCAGCTGCCGGGGGGCTGGTGATGAGTGATGTTAGTTTTCCTTGTGGCCTTACCTACTCTAATTGATTTTCATCAGATGACAACAAAGCCCTCTGTTATTGCATTTTTAAAAATGGAGCTCACCTAAAGACTCATCAGATTAATCTTTGCTGATAATGCATGTCACTCCAAGAGAAAAGACTTTAATGAGTTTTTAGGTAGATTGTTGTCATAAACTATGCTGCTCTCTTATTCCAGAGTAAATTCTTTTACAACACTATCAGGCCTGTAGGCAGGTTGAAAGTTGAGCTAAGAAAAATCAACTCCGAGTTTTTTCCATAGTGGCATTTTTCACACCTCTGTAAATTGTCATATTTCTGTTATACACATTTTATCAGATATTAGTCTAACTGCACTTTGGCTGTCTTAAAGACTCTGTTTGCAGGTTAGTGCTTATAATTGAAAAGTTCCAGATGTTTTGTAGAAAATTTAGAGAATTAATTTAGAAATGGTGTAGTACCAATGTATTAGGAGAATGAGTAGTTAAATGAGGGGGTGTGAGTTTATTTCCCAACCCCTTTGCAATTCCTGGAGCACAGTCCTTGTAGCTGCATTTGCCATGACATGGTCCAGTAGTAGCTGTTTTCCCTGAAACTGGATAAATTCCAGATTTTACCTTTCTGCCAGTTCCTCAAGATTCTGGAGTTCACTGCACAGCTGTAGACTTTGAGATGTAAATGTGTTTTATCAGGTGTGTTCTTCCAAATGCACAATTCATGTGCAAATTAAACTGTGCCCCTTTCAGGAACTGTCATTTATTTTAACACTGATACTTGAACTGTTGCTGTAGGATGTTTTATATTCCAATAATGTTTAAATACTTAAACTGCTCTTGCAGGGGGACAAAGCTTTTAGTTGGTAGCAACTTCCAAACCCCACTCTGTGCAGGTCTTTACTGGTCAGTGGCACTGCTTGCCCCAGTTTCCTTCTGCACATCCTGAAGACCTTTGAAATCAATGTTTTCTTTATAATGTTATGTGTGTTCCACAAGCTGGAGTGCTGCTTTTCCATTAACCTGACTTTGTTTTGAATACAGTTTAAAAAAAAAAAGCAGCACAAATGTCTTTTTTTAGGCTGCTTTTGGGGTTCACTTGTGCCATTTTAGAATGATAGATTTTTGAGGAGCAGAATTATTGAAATACTTCTACAGGTTTTACCAGACTTTCATTATTCCAAAAACACTGAGCTTTTAATCATGCCATTATCTGATAGTGAATATGAAGAAGCACAACACATCCAAGATATCCATTTCCTTTATCTTCTGTTTTGTTCTTGCTGTTATCTCCTTCCTCACTGTGTATTCCCCCCCTGCACCAGCTTGTATTTCCTCTTGACTTTGGGCTTCAGTGTTTTGCCTAATAAAAATCAGCTATCAAGTTGTTAATGAGGCTATTTATGAGTTACTGAGCTTTTGAGTCAACAGACCATTAATAGTAATTGGTAAGAGGCAAATTCATATCTGGTTGTCAGTGCAGCTGGCTGTGTGCTGCAGAGCAGCTTCCCCAGGTTACAGATGGCTCACTCAGCACTGCAGAAATGCATTGTGCAGTGCTCATTACCCCTCTGTGGCTCCTTTCACAGCTCTCCAGGCTGCATCCATGCCTTAAGGCAGGGAGTTTGTCTCTATTTTTAATATTCCTGGCTTAGTACCCATAAGGAAAATGCATACTTCTAGCTACAGCCTTGATTTCCTTCGAAATTTTTTTGTTAGAGTTTAATTAAAAGTCTCAGAATATCACTAAAGTTTGTTCCAGCATTTTTCTAGATGTGACTAACATTGCTTTTTCACATTTTCCTACCCATGCCTGTATATACAGAGAACAGTAGATTTCATACCCAGCTCTACAATTATTTTTAACCTTTTTCTGTAGGTCTTTTTATAATTTTTGAAAATAAGATTCAGGCAAGACAGGGTGAAAGAACAGAAATTTTAGACATCCCTATTTTAAGGTTTTAGTAATGCACTTGAAAATATCTAGTTTTCATGTATGGTACGAGATCTGCTGTTTTAATAAGTTTGTAGGACATCCTGAGTTCTTGATAGAGCTGTGGTGCTCTGTTAGAAAATAAAAACCACATTGTATTTCTGAGGCTGTGGAACATGGTATTTCTGAGGCTAAGGAAAAAACCCACATTTAATGTATGATAATCTTGTTTTTCTCTGTGTTTATTGTGTGTCACTTTTTTGGGTGCATGCAAAATTTCATCGTAATGGTGGGCATTTTCTATTGATCACACTTCACATATGTTTCCAATTGCATAATTCTGTCTCAGAATGGAAGAGATGTGATGAATGGCCATTTATACATCTGTGATAAGAAGATAGAGCAAACAGGCAGTAATTTCCATATCTGCTGAAATACTGCAGCCTGGCTTTGGCAGTGCTGCTGAGTCCATTTCAAGGATGTCGCCCTTAGTCCATTAGTTTGGATAATGAGCCCTATAAAGTACATTTATAACTCGTGGCACTGCAAGGAGATGGATTCTAATTTTCATCCTTTTATCCAGACACATTGAAAGAAGGTCAATGGAGGGTTGGCTGTGATTCATTGTCGCAACACAGATCAGATGACAGAGACCTGATAATGTCAGTGCAGGAGTGTTTGCTGCATGTGGAAGCACTACTTGAAAGAAATTTTCTCAGCATCACCCTTTGAAGTGAAGTGGGACTGAAATGAAAAGCTCTCTCTCTCTCTCAGTTTAAAATCTTATCACACATATGACCTGCTGCTATTCCTGAACAAAGGAGAGGAAACAACACTTAGCAGCAAAATAAAATGTGTCGTTGCTTTTGCTGGCTTTGAGTGATGCAACATGACATTTAATCAACCTTTCCCCTTCCAGAATGGTTGGGGGGTGGTGGGGAAATTGTTTCATAAACAATAAGAAAGGTTATAATTAGAAATGAGCTGCAGCAGCTCGACTTCCTTGTTTATTTGCAGTATTCAAATGAGAGCTCCAGGATGAAATCACTGGGATTAACAGTTAGGAGAAACTTGTTAAAGTTGCAAGTGAAACAGGCATGGGATAGGATTTGAAACTGAGCAATGTTGGATGTCAAACAGGGCTTGTACTGCTGTCAGGTACCTGTTGAATTTGAAAATAGGAATATATGTAGGGACCAGATGCCTGGGAGGTCAGCATTAGAAGTCAGTGTTACAAAAACATGTTTAATAGTCACAAACCTCTTACATTTACAGATGAGGACTGTGTGTCACCTTTTTTCAATTCTCATCTCAGGTTATAGGAACAGCTGGTTTACCAGAGCTGGTGGAGCTGATTGCTATTACTTATTGAGATTTGGGGTTGCAGATCATTATAATCACAGAAGCTGACAAATAGCTTGAAGTTACAGAAATGTTGTTGATCCTAAGGCATAACTTGCAGATATTCCACAGATAAAGTTGCACTATGATAAAAGGGTAAATCTGCACATATCTCTGGCTCAGGCATTGTGTTCCTTTGGATGTTTCCCTGTGCATGCACACTTGTGTAAGTGTGTGTGAGAAAATTCACTGCCTTAAGTGAATTAAATCACTGTGTGTTAAATTGTTGAAACACTGATAAAGTTATTCAGAAAGCTTAGTTTTAAAAAAGGTGATTTTCATACCCCAAGCAAAAGTCCAGTAAAGCTAATTTGCTTTATTTATTTATGAACTAAATGTTCTGACAGTGTAGAAGAGAGCACAGATCATGGGTATAGAATCAGCAGCAGAGGTGGCTTTACTGAATATCTGTGTGCAGCCTCCTTTTTCTTTGTCTCGTGTATATGATGCAGCTTCGTATGTCATACATAAGTGAAGCTTGTCCTTTCACAGAGAATTTTCCCCCTTAGAATCTGAAATTTGTATTCTCATTTAAGCTCACTGAATGGGTTCATTTCTGTGGTTTGCATTTCTGTCCCACTTCTATTTCTGTCCTTGTTTTGTGGAGAACATTTGTGTTGTTCTTACAGCACCAGGACTCAGTTAATCCCTTTGTGTGTCACTCAGAGATAAAGGGTGTATTTAGTCATAGACAGAGCAACTCACTCTTGGAACACTCTGATGCACTCATTTGTCAGGGAGCTTTCCCAAATCTCCTGAGTTAATTTGCTATTTAATTTGTCAAATATTATTGTCAAAACAAACTTGGTTTTTGTGAAGGTGTCTTTCTGAGAAAGAAATCCCACTCCAAAATAAATCACAGATTTCTATTTACATATTATGAGGTAAGAAATGTAGAGCTAAATGCCAGTGCTGTAAGCTTACATTTTCTGTAAAAAGTGATCAGTTTATTAAAGTTGGGATGTCATTATCTGTATTGGCACTGCATGTGTAAACTTCATATACACCAGCTAGAATGTGTCAGTCTAGGTTTTGGTGATGAGTTGAATTGGTTTAGGGGTGCACATGTTCAAGAAATACAATGAATTTAATGAAAGATACAAATATTGTGCTGTATAACTCAATTTTAACAACTTATGCATGTTTTTGTTACCTTTACTCAAAATTTCTTACTGTAGTTTGTTTTTTTTTTAAACAGGTGCAAAGCTATTGTGGATCAATTTGGACAAAGAATTAGTGCCAACTATTTTATTGTGGAAGACAGTTACCTCTCAGAGAGCACATGCACCAATGTGTGTTACAGGTATGTGGCAAAACAAAAAACACAATTTCTTTAAATCATGGTGTGTAAAGTACCCTGCACGTTAAATTGAGGAGCCATTTTTGCAGTTCAATATTGAGCAAAGTATTTCTCTGTTAACTGGAGGATATCCTGTGTGCTTTCTATAGTCAGGTTTTCTTCAGTTGTCATTGAAATCAGATTTCCCCTTTCCATATACCAAATCCAAGAGCTCTAAATGTGTTGGGAATTTCCTATCTGCTAAAATGTATTTGGGAGGTGAAGGTGCCAGTTGCTGTCCCTGCTTTAAATTTGCTCAGCTTTAGACAAGTCCTAGAGTTCCTTGATTTGTGTGATTTGCTCGTTGCTACAGAAGGCCTGGGCATGTCCTGCCTGTGTCAGAGCAGGGCAGGGGAGGATCAGCAGATCCTCTGCTTCAGCAACAGGCAAAATATCCCACTAAGAATCATAGTAATAAAGGTTACAGAGTGACATGGCCCTGGTATTACCAAAACTAAGATTCTAAATTGCTATTTTTACATCTTTGTTTTCATTTTGCATAATTAAATGAATTATATCGTAATTCTTTTATTGAATTGTAGGCAGATCTCCAGGGCAGTCCTCATTACAGATCAGTCTGTATTGAACACAGACTCAGAGCAGCAGGTACACACCAATTCTGTATCACTTGTCTCATGTGTTAATGTTTAGTTGTTGGTAGGAATTAAGTCTCCTTAATTCAGTTTTGTTTGTGCTTGAATCAAGATCTTTACTCAGCTCTCTGTACTGGTAATTGTTTAATTTGTTTTAGTGTATATAAAACTATTAAAAATTTTAGTTAAGTTTAGTTCAATGGCTGGGATTTTTCTTGCTTGGTTCACACTATAATTAATATAATTTCTAAGTTGCTCTCTTTAATTTTAGTTTTGCTTGCTTTTTAATAAATTGTTACCCTTACTATTCTGTTAATTATTTATTTTGTCTGAACTTTGTTCCAAGTTCCTTTGTTTTTCTTAAACATTCCTTTTTCTGTTTGAAGTTCTCGTTCACTTTAAAATGCATCTTTAGATCTGCTTTGTCAGTCTTTGCAGTCCTTCATTTTAGAGCATATTAATCAGAGTTGTGTTTGTTCTGTCTTAATAAACTAGAAAACAAAACTGTAATTGCAGTTCCTTTTGACCTGTAG